AAATTGTTCTTTGTTCTTTACTACCACAAGACAAGACTGATTTATTACAACAGTGTTAACACCACTTTAGAATTTCAATTTATTGCAATAGAACAAGGCAAGTAGTTAGAAAAAAAATGGAACTCTCTCTGCAGATAAAGACCTTGAGACCTTTAGATTTGATATTGGGGTCTCCTAGTTTCCCTGGGTTCTTGGTCTTACCATTAAAATAAAACTCCTTGACCAGACTCAACTAACATAAAAAGTAAGATTAGGTCTGCAATGAAAATGACATGAATTCAGTTAGTCTATCTCAGTAAAAAACTAAGACATGTAAAAATTAAGGACGTGTTACACTTAAATTCAACTCAGAATATGTGCATAAAACAAGCAAATACAACTTTCCATTTTGGGGAGCCTCATTTAAATATATCTGTGCCTAACACTGGTCATTAAGTATGTTGGAAATTGAAGCCTCAATGAATTCCCAACTTTGTCATTGTCAATTGGCACTCTGCTGTTGACTTTTGTAGAATCAGGATTTCATCCAAGACACTGCAATTTAAAACAAGTTCTGAGAAGTTTCAGCTGCCATATTTATCACAAGAGGGTTTTATCTTGAAATTATAAAAAGTGAGATGATACCATTTACAATATTTTTCACTGCTAATAACTTTTCTTATTGTGTAAATCTATAACTGTTGAATCAAACAACAATCATAGAAGTAGAGACTCCAGGCTTGCAGACTGTCATATATTTGTATAAGACTCAGAGTCTGCATTGCATTCACTAGAAAAATCGACAGAAAGAAAATAAAATGTCACAAAATCCTCTTCCCTCCAGTGTGCTTATAACAAGGGAATAACTTCCTCCCCATCATCCAAGTAGTAACCACCAAATAAGAGTAAATAGCCTCCAACAATTTTCCAAGAGCCAAAAGCATCAATTATTCCACAACCAGATGTCTAATCCTTCTTCTCAACTTGTAACAGTTTCTACAATACAGTTATGTGTTAGTCAAACAGAACAGACACAAAAATACAAAACATCAGGCATAGCATGGAAAAATGGAAAGAATGTGGAATAACTAGTAAATACATTATAGTAGAGCTTTTGCATCCAAAGACTTGCCTGCATTTTATCCACATCCCTGCAGAGGTATCAGTATGTGTAATAGAATATATTATCTTCCCTTTTAAACCTTTCCTTTTCTATTCAGTATTGAACAGAAATTGTCCCTTTTTCAAATGGGTGGTAGAAGAACTACAGAAGACCTACTAACTGAAATATCTGCGTGCTACATGAACTATCCCCTAAACCAGAGATGAGGAAATCAAGGTACAGCTTGGAGAGCCCAGTTTCAGTAAAGAAGTCATAGCTCAAATACTGAGTGTAACAGAAATTCTCAGGCATGATCACAAAAATATCAGCTGATGCAACTATTAGGATGTTTCAGATTGCTATACTGTAATTTTCACACATCAAAAAAAATAGAGGCAAGGGCAATAGATGATCAGAAGGTAACAGACTGTCCTCGACTTCTTGTCTTAGTTTACAGGAATTCTTACAGTAAAATGATTATAAAAGAAATCCCATGATCCTGAACAGATATGCCTATAGATTTTTTTGTAGTAGGGGGCACAGCACATGACTCATTACTGACTACAGAAATAACCAGTGATTTCTTTTTTTTTGTCAGTTCTCAGCATATTTCTACTGATTTATGTGTTAAATCAAAACTTTTCCAATCTTCCCTCAGAAATAGTTTTTGGATAAGTCTTGATGTCCATGTTTCCCTTTACACTGTCACACACTTCCATGTGAACATGTAACAGTTCACATACAGATGTTTATTTTGATCAGCCATCTGTTCCATCTGAAACAAAAGAGATCACAGCAAATGAACTCCCACTGTAACTCTCTTTCTGAATACATAAACAACTGGGTTCTCAACAAAAAAGTCTGTTAGTTTTCATAGTGTGTTGGAAAAGATTGCACTTTTTGGGTGACTCAGAAAGTCAGATCCCTGGTCTGAACAGTGTGGAATATTGGTAAGATAATAATGAAAAAATACTGAGTGATCATGCGATAAGGGAGCATATAGATCAATCTAAAATTTTTACTTGCAGGATGGTGTTCTGTGTCTTCTTTTTTTTCTTTATAGTTATAGGTGCTTGGATTTTTTCTTTTCAGACAAACCCACAACCGAGAGCTGGATTGGACATAAGCAGATGCAGTGAAGATCAATAAACTGAGAGAAATTGATTTAATGGGAGACTTGAAGAGGCAGTGTGGTGGGCAGTGACAAAATATAAGAGTTTATTTTCAACTGCAGAGATGAGTGGGCCCATAAAGAGTGAGACACAAAGCAGTGGTCAGGTAAGAGGCACATGCAGAGGGGGCATGAAATGGGAACAATAAAGTCTGCAAGAGATAAACACAATAGTATGCAAAACAATAACAAGAGAGAATTCTAACTTGGGAAGGCCATTAAGAAGTATTTGAATTTCAGTCAATGAGACAAAAGGGAGAGAACTGTAAGAGAGTGAAGTTTGTAGTGAAACCTGTTAACTAAGAAATTTCAGTCACTTGGTGTGACTCGATGACAGTAGAGGAAAGGGAAAAGAAGATACAGAAGATATAGTACAGTCAGAGAACTGTGTTCTCATTAATATGAAGAGACTTTGTCCACCTGGAAATAGTTCTTATCCATTCCTGCCTCTTGNATATCTCTGTATGGAAACCCTACCTTTACTTATTCCCCAGCCATAGTTGTCCAAGGCTGTTCCCAAATTTGGTCCTGAAATGTTTAGAATGCCCTCAACCTAAAAACTGAGCAGGTATAAGTAGTTTACCTAGTTTACCCCCAAATAAATGAACATAAATAGATTCTAATCTCACTGAAGAGGTAACACCTTGAGCCAAGCAGGTTCACTCTAACTACTGACTCTGTTTACACTGACATATATCAAGTCAAATTGCCTCACACACCAGCCCAGTTCTCACTACAGGTTTTCCTTGGCTCTTACCACATTAGCTCACATACTCCTGCATTGGAATGGATAGAGCTGTACCATAATACCTGACTTCAGGATGAAAATTTTCCATTTTATACTCTCTGAAACTAAACAACCAGACAAAGCATGAAATTTCATGCAATTGAGCCAATCAAGCTCATGTCTTGATACCTGCAGTCAGGCTTTAAACCAGAATTGTACTTGAGGACTAAAATCCAAGCCTAGAAGAAATCAAATAATGCAACCTTGCCTCCTATTTAACAAGCTAAGAAAGCTAAAGAAGCAAACAAAATCCCAGCAATCCCAACTTAAACCCAGAGTTTCTGTGAAGGTATTCCTACCTTAAGTTTCCAGCTATGGATATCTACCCCACACAACAGCCTACCTGATCTCCCTGTGTATTAAGTGGCAAGTAGTCACTAAATGAGATGATTTTGTGTGTTACTTTTTATTTTTCTTTTCTTTTTCTTTTTCTTTTTTTTTTTTTTTTTGGTCAAGGAACCCTGTCCGGTATTGCAGCAATAATTAATTTTTTATTGAGAAATTATGATTTTGAAAAATAAATCCATAAAATATTTGCACCATAAAACAAAGAGCAAATTCACTTTATATACAATATTATATTTGAAAAATATTTTGGCATAGTTGATGCACACACGATTTGGGAAATAAAAGTTGACACTCATAAGGTAATAATTTATTAATCTGTTAAATTTTCCCATATGTATAGCCATCTAGAATTGCATTCACAGAAACCAAAGAAGAGCTAGCCAAACATGATGAGACCCAGGAAGCAGTTCAGTGATGCTATTCAGGTATAAATCTATGAAAGCAGGCTCATCTTGTGTTGACACAGCAGCTGTACCACAGGAAGAAAGCTGAGTTAGCCCAAGAGGGTTAAGCTACACCAGACTGCAGTAAGAGTTACACTACAGCAGCTCATAAGCCCATGCCCTGCCCTGCCCAACACAGAAAAACAGAAATAGCCAAGACAAAGAAGGAGCTTTTGAATACCTTAGGATTTCTATCCAGTCCTATTGCTTGTGGGTGAGTTTTCTGTCTGACCTTCTGCACTACAAAAAAGTGCTCATCTTTAACATGTGAAGCTGTCAGTTTCTAGAATGGCTATGTTTTACCACAGTGAACAAGGTTTTATGAAGCAACACCAGTGAAGTAGGACACCCAAGCCAAAGAAACTCAGATTCTTTCAAGTTCACGTTAAAGGGAAACTGCAACACCTCTTCTCTAGTCCTTTTATTGGGTCACATTATTGATGAAGTGCTTTTTCTACTCATGTCTTAGGAATGAAATAATAAAGTTACACCACATATCCAAAGCAAAAAGCATATACACTCTTTAACAGGAGAAACAGGAGAAAAGATTCATCCACAGCTGTTCTTACTGGGTGCTGGTCTTGATACAGTCTATAACAGCTTATCTCATGGCATAAAAAGATTCAAATACATTGAGCTTCAAATCATCCTTGCTGATTCTCTTACTCATGTACTTCAACATATATTTACACACCTTAGACATTAATCTCTAGGAGTTTACACACAGACTAGTCAGAAACACACTTATTTTAGAAACACTGGTTCAATCACTGCCATCTTGCTTTCAGTTTGCCTCATTCAAAATAAAGCTGCTCACTGCTAGCTTTGATTTATATATAACCCTCTCAAACTCATTTCTGTTGTTCTTGATGCATTCTGTACTACCTGGATATAACCACACAAATTAATGCTGAAGCTGTACTCAGTACAGTGACAGCATTAATAGGGCACTATTTTGTTGTCCACAATAAGCTCCCTCTTGTGCCTCTGGTGTTCTGTAATTAGGCCCCTTCAGACACACAGTTTGGTTATTGTGGTTCATCAGCTTATAATGCATTATTCTAAATAGCTGCATTTTCATTCCTTTTTTTTCCCTTTTCCTTTTTTGCTGTTAAAGTAAAAAAAAAAAAAAAACCAAACAGATAATGGAAGTAAAAAAAAATTACTCACCCTTCATCTCGATCTAACATAATGTTTATGGACAGCAGGGAGAGCAGGAAGATGTTCTTGTGAAGAGAGGAACTTGAACAGCTTTATAGGACAACAACCTAGGAAGAAATGACAAGCCAATACCCACATTTACTGTTTGTAAATCTGAGCATTGATTCTGCTTTCACAAGTGGCTTTCATCAAATGCAAATCAGAAGCCTGGCATCTGCTTGAGTAACCAGGCAGCCCTGTCCCCCTTTCAAGGGAACAAAAGCCATACAATCAAAGGATTTTAAGAGGATGGCAAACTTATTGTAAGCTAGAAAAGGTTAAAAGTCTGCCAGAGCTTAAATATACCTCTCAGAACTCCCAAGTATGGAAGCACTTCTGACCTTTATGATTTTTTTTCTGTGAAATGTTTCTGTATATTGGAAACATAATAAAAAGTGACCAAACAGGAGAGAGACAAACTAGTTACATTTCTTACTTCCCAACTGATTTTGGAAGCTTCAGAAAGCAAATTTATACAGTTTTATATGTTCTCAGATTCCAAAAATCCAGCTCTCTGACCAACAGTACTCTGGCTGTTGTACAGGACCTACCTGTGCTCCCCTGCATAAGTGATAGATCCTCTTCTGTAAAATGGGTAACAACAGGAATTCCCTCCAGACATGCTTATTCCTCTCTCAGAAATCTTCACTAAGAGTGGCATACCCTGGAATATGGCTGAATAATATATGGGTAGAGAAAAACATACTTTTAATTATATTTTATATTTTTAATAATAATTTAATAATATATAGCCCTTTCAGATACATTGCTGCTGTTCTATGAATTAACCGAAAATTCACTACTTCTACTTGCTTCAGTTAAAAGCACGCTTTCCCAGGAACAAAGAAAACAAGATTACTCTTTCTACTGAAAATCCTGAAAAATGTCTAATACTAATTTCATATGTATATTTATTGTGAAAATAAAGCCTTTTGCTGTATTATAGCAGCATAAGATAGAAATTAAAAAAATATATATTAAGACTTAATGAATTCCTCATGGTGTCTTCCTAATTGTCTTATTTCTCATTCATTTGGGAATAATCACAATGCTTATCCCAATGATTATGAGATTAGAAACCAACATTCTAAGACTTGTAATAAGCCTAAAGTGTCAGCTTGGTAAATTTTCAGCTTTTTATTTAGTGATTGGTTCTAAATTCCAAAACAGAAACCATCTCACATACAAGTTTTAGCTTTATAAGAACAGGATTTGTCAATGCTATTAATAACTAGATGGATAATAATTCACTCTGAGTAATGTCTGAAGGACCCTGCCACTGTGAGGATTCTCTGTAATTATAAACAATTTAATTTAAAACAGGTCTTGGTTCTAATGTTATAAATGATCTACTAGAACAACCTGTGCTTTCTTCTGAAGGAATCATAATTCTCTCAGGTGTTTAGAGACAACTATAAAGCAAAGGCTGGCAATTCTCTAAGGCAAAACCAGATCAAAAGAACAGCAATAGGAAGGAGTTTTAGGGTTGTGTTTTTAATATGTAATAGGCACTAGATAAATCAGATTATGAAACTCAGTGTCACAAAATGTCATGGAAAGCAAAAATATAAATTGCACTGAAATTAAATTATGTGAGCTAAAGGAAAAATCTATTGATACCTATTGGTCCTGGTGATACAAGTGTACATCTGACCTTCAGGTCGGGTGGATGTTCTAAAACCCACCAGGAGTATCCTATATTTTTTCTCTTTTTATTTCTGTGTTTTCAGCACCTCATGTGGGCAGTTATCTTTGTTGCATTACCCGAGAAATAAGCTTGAAACAAACAGCCTTCTCTCTAAAGCATAGAATCTGAAATTCAAGTAATGCAGATACAAGTGATGAAAATAAAAAACAACCCAAACCGCCACCAAACACAAACTAATCTGGAACATTAAGAATTTAAGAGGATCCCGAGTAGGAAACAGACTCTGTTATCATTGTAAACATACCAAGTAAACTTCAAGGAGGAAGTATCACATAGAAACAAAGCATGAATGGTAATTCTGGACTAAGCATCCAGCATTCTGCCCATCACATCTCAAAGACTATCCCCTGTTTGCTGCCAATGAGGATTTCTCCCAACCTCAAACTCCTTATGGAGAGCAAGACTGCTACAGAAAACAAAATGGAAAAACCAAATGAGCCCAGATTACCACAAATGAACTAAAGAAAGAGGTCAGAGCATTGAAAGTGCAGTTAGCAAGGGAACTGGAGAGGGATGTAAAACAGAGCATTCCTGACAGCAACCCAAGTAGCTGATGGGTGCTGCCAAGTGCTGATCTGCCCAGGAAAAGAGACATCACTGTCAGAAGGAAAGTATTGAGCTGAACTCAACATCTGATATTGAACTGACACATCCAACCCACTAAGTTCTTAAGGCAACACAATCAGGAAAAGAAAAATAAGTTACATTACACTGTTTTTCAATACAGTATCTTGTTTCAGAGATGCACCCACAGCAAGGTCTTCCCAAGGACCTTCGTGTTGAGTAATATCACAAGACCTTTCTCCTCCTAAAAGTAACATCTGAATTTAGAGTATCTATTCAAATCAGACCCAGAGAACAAATAAATTCTTTGCTGAGTCATGCTCAGAATAATTCTTACCTTCTCTGTGATTCCTTTCAGCTGCAGATATTAGACAATGTTTCCCAAGAAAGAATGCAAATAAAGTACTTCATTATTAGTCCTGCAAATAAGTTACTTTCACAATATCAGCATCACATAGCTTGTTTTCATCTAATACATTCATCTGTATAATAGTTGGTCTTACCAAACCCTTTGACAGAACCACAAAATGTAAGAACAAGTGTTGGGGAGGAATGCTATGTTTGCTTAAGATAGCTATTCTAGAATATCTGCAGTAATGTAAAATGCACAATAAAGAGGATAAATTTTACCAATGCTATCCAAAAAGTTGATCACCTAATGCTAAGTACAGTATCCTTATTTATTATGCTTACACAAGATAGACCCATATAATATGAGCAAGATACAGTGATAAAAATTAAATAATATAGACATTAAACTACTATATAATTTTCCACATAAACCTATGGTTTTAGCAAGATCCCACTGCATTTTTATCAGATAACACACGCTGATTATTTCTTGAAGTATGAGTCAGAATTTTTTGAATTGCTCCTTTCTACATCTCATTAAATCAATGGGACACTGGTGTCTAAACAGTGTTAGCTTCCTAGGCCAGTACATAGGATAGTACAGATTAAAGGTTAAAATCTTCCTAGTCTCTTTGATATTTTTGATGTTGTCTCTTACTTTAAAATCAGAGCAGTGACAGTCCTAACTGTAAGATTTTCAAAGGCACTTCAAATAAAAACATCAAATATTGAAATTGCTTTAACTTCTCACCTTCTCTTTCGTCATTGTGCTCGCTTTTTGTCCTCCCATACACCCAAACACATGCAAGCACATTCTCACACACACCAAAAAAGCACTGAAAATTAGAGTCAACATTTTTTAATGTGAAAATATAGAAATACACTCTCATAAATGTGAAGCTACCATGGCTTGAAGTCTAAACATTCAACACATAATTTGTAACTTTAATCAACACATCTCATTTTGTTAATGTGTACTGACTGGCTGCCTGAGTGCTAATGAGCGTCCCTGAATGCTAATGGCTCTGTGAAACTAGATGGCCTCTGAGCATCACATGGATTATCTGAAACTTATTTGCATCTCAGATTCCCAGCACCATTCAGCTTCACCTCTCTTTGACCTTGACATTTTATAAACTAGGGAGAACAGTCGTATTATGAAAGAAAAGCCAAAACTGAACCAGAAAATGCAGGCAGGCATATATCCATCTAGAATACCTCAGAAACAATTTAATGAGTTTAATATTCTCACACTGAAATATGGCCACTCTAAGTCTTTATACATCTTATCTCTCTTTTCTTTGAACTCTAATGCTTACAAGATATATGCCTAGGAATACAGTGTGTGTAACCAGGAAATAGTAAGAGAAGGATTGTGAGAAGAGTTCATACCTTTTAGAACCAATTGATTTGCCAGCAATTAAACATATTACATATATTATGCATTAGTGCATGTATTACTATGGGGAAATATCATATATATGTATATATCATAAATTCAGCACAGTTGAAAAAAAAGACAAGGCTTCAAGCAGACAAGACGACCTTCAAATCCTATCCCATGTATTAAAATTGTATATTCCCTTTTGTCCAACATATAACATTTATTTGGTGATGGTCAGATGTGTCCTGTAAGTTCACAAAAGCCCCATAGTTCTGTTCCAGTGAGTAGACTGGAACATTGCATCAATGCCCTGCTTTAAAGGGAAACCTATACTCAAGGTATTATTTCGCTGCTCTGCATGTCATAGCACTCTCTAAAAGTCAGAAATATTTTCCCTGAAAGCTTTATTTCTTTTTAAATTGTGTTTCATGTTGTTTGGGTTTTTTTCTGTGAAGAAATCCATAGATACAAATATATACACATGCACACATACAACTACATTTTTTCAGGAAAATAAACTTTCCTGTCTGTAAAGAGACATGAAAATTATAATTGAAGAATATGGTAAAATTATTTTAAAATAAACTGCCTTTTTACTTTTTACTACTCAGACTAAACAGACACATAATATTCACATTATAATCAGATCTGTTTCCCAGCTTGAAATATAGTGGAAGCATTTGATATTTTGTTAAAGTCAAAACCCAGGAGAGGCCATTAGATCATCTGCAATGTTCAGTCCATTTGACCACCAAATTTAACATGGAATCCTTGAGATGTGGTTGACTCAAACATACCTCCCAAAAAGGTGTATGACTTTGATCTGAGAACTTCAAGTCATGGAATATCCACACATACTCTGTGTGTTTGGTTTGCAACGGCTTAATCACTTCTCCTTTTAAATTTATTATGATATAAACTTTTGATACATAGAGGAAAATAAAACTAAAGACCTGTAGGCTTCTGTATCTGCTTTTACATCCATCTGAACACACTATCATTGGCTACCTTATCCAACACGCCCTTTTTCTTTTAATATTTACATTTTCTCCCATCTGCTCTTCAGAATTTTGTCTAGTATTTCAAGATTTATTAAAAATTACCAGCATGCCAGATGTCTTTTTAGTTCTTTAAAGACTGTTTGGTACAAATTATCTGCAACTCTGAAAGTGTTTATCCTTTAATGTCTACCCATGCCCTGAAAAGCACTTTCTTATCCTCATGGAATGCAAACACATGGCTTTCCAAGTACAGAACGTGGTCTTATGGAATATTTCTATATCTTCTTTAGAATTGTTAAGTATTAATTTATCTCCAGTTGGTAATGGATCTATAGCACCTCTAGGATTTCTCTGACTCCTCATTATGATTAGCTTTTGGTTTCTCCCCTATTGTCCTTGGATTCCTTACAAGTTTTCTGGATTTTTTATCTTCCAAACGATGCATGCTGCCATTTATTTACCAAAATTACTTTTCTTTAAGTATATAAAATGGCATGTCCTACAAGAAGACAGCTGACATCATGAAAACATCTCCAGAGAAAGCTACCTAAAAATCATGTTTGTATATGGCTGAAGGCAAGTTTATAAAAACAAAGCTTAGGGGATCATGGTTTCTTCAGGGAGAATGCAAATTAGTGTCTAAAACAAATTATGTCACTGCACAACCAGGAAGCCTAA